CATAGAACTAAGGAAGTGGTTTACATTATAATTCATCAAGTGATCATTGTAGTCTTAGGTTTAATTTAAAATTTTGAGGCCATTGGGCACAACCTTGATAATTTGGGGGGAAAATTATTTGTTATTGGTGACATTGGGTTCTTCATTGAAAAGGTCCTTCACTGTGTATATAATTTCATTGAGTAGCCACTAGCCATACATAACTATACATTGTAGACCTCAAGTATTTAGTTAGACGGCTATGAGGGCAGTAGTGGAGATATAGCGATTGAGCCGAATTATTCCTGACCCTAGGAAAATCTTTGAGAAAAACGAATTTAACATATTACTTAAAACAACATATTCCTAGGATATTTGCTGCTTTCTCCTACAGTTGAGAATTCCATTTGGTCAAATTCTATTATTCAAGGTTTTATTATGCTTGTTTTAGCAAAATAGATCCCGTCCTTTGGGTGATAAGGGAATCAATGTTGATTCCAGCCCCAACTAACACGTCGTGCCATTAACTGATCATATATAAATACTGTGTCACAGCTTAGGAAAACGTTTTTTATTTCACATTGAGGAAGAAAAGCTTAAATTATATTTTCTTCCTTGATGATTGAAACCATATATGAAAGCACATATAATGGGGAAAATGTTAGATGGGGTTGTACTAGGGTGGTAAGAGAGTGAATATGGGTAATTTTTGTTTTCTTTTAGTCTCTTAAGAATTTTCGATTACATGATTATGGTTCCATAATTGAAACACTAATTAATAAGTTTGAAGTGTTGAGCCCAAGCGTGTGTTCCAGCACAGCTGATCTCTGGGTTTCCTTTGCAGGGGAGTCAGCACAGCACACACAGCAGCTTCCACCCGGCCCTGGCTCCTGTCATCTCCAGCCTGCAAAGCCTGGTTGGCACAAAGAAAGCTTCTGATCCCTCCCCCAGAAATTCAGGTATTCCGTGGACACACGTCCAGCAAGACATCCTGATACCCAATTGTTATTTTAATATTAAATTTTTTTACCTTTAAAATATTTTTAAATCTTTGTACTTGGCCACGTAAGCCCCAAGCTTTCGGAAAGGCCTATTCTAAAGGAAGGAAAGCCTTAGAGACTCATTTCTGGACTCTGCCTTTAACTTTATACCAATCACATGAAAGTGGGAAAGCAGAAACTGAAAGTGTTTCCTAAAGTAAAATCATTTACAAAGAGAAAAAAATTGTAAAGCTCTTTTTTTAAATGTTTTTTTAAAAATTTATTTTAGAGAGAGAGAAAAAGAGATAGAAACATTGATGATGAGAAACATTGATTGGTTGCCTCCTGCACGCCCCCTACTGGGGACCAAGCCCACAACCAGGGCATGTGCCCTAATCAGGAATCGAACCAGAGACCTCTTGGTTCATGGGTGGATGCCAGTGAGGGCAAGGGTCTTCTTAATTCTTTCCTTGGATAGATGGTTACTTTAAGTCAGAAAAACATACAGTAAAACAAAAATGGCTCATCTTCCAAGCCATTTAATCACTATATTTCAGGCAGCTACTGCTACAGTCCATCAGCTTTTGTCAGACCAAATGCTTATGGCCACATCTGTCTCAGAGAGAGAGGACTTCTTTAATATAGAAGACAGCCCCTGGTCGATGACTGCTGGTTTGGATTTTGAGAAAGGATATAATGCCTGCTTGTTTCAGTATTTTCTCTTGAAAGGCCTAGAAAATGATACATTTTCAGGAGATAATTTTATATCCTACATATATTATCTCTTAATATTAAAAGTTAATTGTGCCCTAGCTGGTCTGGCTCAGTGGATAGAGCATCAGCCTGAGGACTAAAGGGCCCGTGTTCAATTCCGGTCAAGGGCACGTACCTTGGTTGCAGGGTCCTCCCCAACCCCAGGCCCTGGTTGGGGCTTGTGCAGAAGGCAACCAACCGATGTGTTTCTCTCGCATTGATGTTTCTGTCTTTCCCTCTCTCTTCCACTTTCCCTAAACATCAATGAAAAAATATCCTCAGGTGAGGATTAACAAAAAAATAAAATTAAAAATAAAGTTTTTTTAAAAAGTTAATTTTGTTGCTTCTTTATTGATAGGCACGGATATGGGACCACGGACCGTTGAAATAATCAGGGTAAGTCTGTTATTTCGCTGTTTTCTTGGTTTGTGTTGGGTTTGCATAAAATGTACATTTTCCCCTTCACACGATTGGTTGGATTATCAGTGTGCTCCTTTAAGTTACTGAATACATATGGGGTCTGTGTAACGTAAACAGACTTAGAAAAATATGGTAAAACACATAGCTGACAACTGAATTTTTTGGTACATCATATCTACTACATTTTGTGCATGTACTTAAAAGTTTTGCAAAACAAAAAATGGTATCATTTTTGGTAGCTTTTTTTAACTTTAAACCAAGACCTTTTAGCCATGCAATAAGTTTTTTGGGTTTTTTTTACAGCATTTGCAGTGATTTTCAACCAGTATGTCTAAAGACTTTTTAAAACATGCAATACCTGACTATTTAGTCGAGACACTGACTTCTTTTCCCTTAGGTTGTCAAGGAAAAAAAATGACAACAGCCAACACAATGGTCATCCAGTGTAACTGAATCAAAATTATACTTGCCCTGGCACATGAGCATCATCCCATGCACAAAACGGTTGCCAGTTCAATTCCTGTCAGGGCCCCACCCCTGGGTTGCAGGCTCGATCCCTAGTAGGGGGTGTGCAGGAGGCAGCCAAAAGAAGTTTTGCTCCCACATCGATGTTTCTCTCTCTCTCTCCATTCCTCTCTCTAAAAATCAATAAAAAAAACATTTTTTAAAAATTTATACCTATTTTAATAAAAAAGAAAAAAGAAAAAGAATTTACACCTATGTTTTTTCAGATCGGCAAAATATATTTTGGTTTGCTGCAGAATTTTAGTAATTAGTTTATGTGTGCCATGAGATGGAAAAGGTTGAAAATTGCTGGCATATAGCATGATTTTTACTGGTTACATAATATTCCATCATATGAACATGCTATAGCTTCCTCTTATAAAACAATTAGCATATTCCTAAACTTTTGCTATCTTTTATAGCAAAATATCTTTGTATTTTCTTTTTGCCCATATCACGGGTATTTGCTCAGGATTAACTACTAGAAATGAAATTGTTGAGTCCAAAGCCACTATTGCTATTAAAGGCTTTTCTACATATTGCTAAATTGCCCTCCTGAGAAGATTGCATAAGATGCATTTCAGTTCATACATTTGTCAGATCCTGAATTTCAAACTCCTGCATGATATCCAGAATATTGGAAAGTGGGCTTCTATTTTGATCACTTTAACCATTAAATTTGGGGTTCAAAAGTAGTAAAAAAAAAGTATGACCTTGTTGTAATCATCATAACTGCAGTAAAGTGATATCCAACATAGCTTAGTTCTCTGGAGTCAATCATAGCTGTGTTTGAAGGCAGTCTGCTATGTATTACCTCTGTTATCTCTGGCAAGTGATTTAACCTCAGTTTTCTCATCTGTAGAATGGGGTGATAACACTGTTTGCCAAGTAAACATTGTTGTGTGGACTAAATGAAGTAATGCATTTAGTATATTTAGCGGAGTACTTAGTACATCACCTAATGTCCAGGAAGTGGCATCCATTATTATTGGCTACATCTTTGACTATATCTGCCTTATTTGTTCCCAGTATCTTTCCACCAGAGTGGCAACTCATATGTTCCTGTGATGAGGGAGTTAAATGTACCAACATGTGCATAATTATGGATAAATTAAGGAAACATCATGATGGATTTGAACAAAACCAAATTATTGCATAAATTTCTCCTTATTCCAAGATTTATAAAATGTCATTTTATGTTTTCTTAGTCATTTCAGCTATTTGTTTTTACAGGCTTTTATTAAAAGGCCTGCTCCTACCAATCATATTCTCCCACACACGGTCCAAGTAGAAACTTCATAAAGAAAGTCGTCTTGCCATTTTGCACGCAGGGCTTTACTACTGATGCAGTCAGAAAATATCAGCTAGGCACAAATACTCTGGAAAACAAGATATAGACTGCCTGTTACTGGAAAGGCCAGCATTGCCATTTTTTTGTCTTATAGGTCTGACATGGCAGCACTAGTAATATCTATAATAATAAAAGCATAATATGCTAATTAGACCAGACAGCCAAACGACCTTCTGGACAAAGCTGTGGTGGCGGGGGGTGAGGAAGAAGCTGTTAGGGGCTATCAGGCAGGCAGGTGAGCAATTAGGGGCGATCAGGCAGGCAGGCAAGTGGTTAGGGGTGATCAGGAAGCCGGGCGAGTGGTTAGGGGTGATCAGGCAGACAGGCCGACAGGCGAACGGTTAGGAGCCAGTGGTCCCAGATTGCGAGAGGGTACAGGCCAGGCTGAGGGGATCCCTCCCCCACCACCACTCCATGCATGAATTTCGTGCACCGGGCCTCTAGTTAATAATAAAGAATAATTCCTCACACTTATGTGACATGAGGTTGTAAGGTACTTTATATAGTTTTTTGTTGTCATTTTGTTCTTTTCCCTTTTTCCAAATGTACTGAGGTCAAATCGAAACACCCTAAGCTGTGTATGTTTTTAGATGATCAATGAAAACTGTAGGAGCTTTGGGACCATACAGGTCCCTTTACCACAACCTTTCTGCCATAGTTGTCATATGTTTACATTTACATAATCTGAGAACCCCACCAAATAATGTGATCATTTTTGCTTTCAACTTTTCTACATATTTTAATGATCTCAAGAAAAAAATACTGCCCTGGCCGGGTAGCTCAGTTGGTTCGAGTGTCGTCCGGCTACATCAAGGTTGTGGATTCAATCTCCGGTCAGGGCACATAACCAATGAATGCATAAATAACTAGAACAACAAATCAGTGTTTCTCTCTCTCTCTCTCTCCCCCTTCCTCTCTCTCAAAAATCAATTTTAAAAAACTTTTACAAAATAACTAAATAAAACCAAAATTTAAAAAGAAAATAAAAGCCCTGACCTGGTGGCTCAGTTAGAGTGCCATCCCAATAGACCAAGGTTTTGGGTTCCATACCCGGTCAGGGCACATATATGAGTCAACCAATGAACACATAAATAAGTGGAACAACAGGTTGATGTTTCTCTCTCTTTCTGTCTCCCCTCCCTTCCTCTCTCTCTCTAAAATCAATCAATCTTTTTTTTAAAATTGGTCACATTTTCCTGTTTTTTGGCGTGTCAAGTAATTTAGGATTTTACCCTGGACCCCATGGATGTCATGCTGTGTGGACAGGATGCGGTCACCCGGTTAGGTTGAGAATACAAGTTCCATCTCCCCTTTTGAGAGTGGTGGTTCCGTTCTGTAGTTTGGGTCTGTTTCATACCTGTGCAGCTTAGAATTGAGCCTGAGAATTCCACAGGTTCACTTAGAGTTAGAGGATCCCTCCTCTGTTTCCCTTTACTCTGGTTTTCTTCTTTTATTTTCCTGCCACCAGGGGCTCCTTTTCCTGGTTCCTCTGCCCAGAAAGATGGGAGTTTCTCTCCGAACATCAGCCGTGTGTACCACTTCTACCGCTCCTTACCTGGGTCTTCCCCTCAGTACAGCGCCGCCAGGAAAACATTTGGAACCAGGGACTTCATCCCTGCTGTCATTCTTCCAAGTGTTGGTTTTCCACCACATTTTGAGTTTCTTTACTTTTCAGAAGCCCCGGTAGTTGTGTTTTGTTATTTTGACATGTTCTCCATTTCAATCAGCAGGAGAAGGTGCTATCGCGTATATGCCACCCTGCTGAATCTGGAACTTGTCATTTCTTCCTTTAGTGATTTTTAAAATGCTAACCCTATGATAGAAATATGGGGAAATCCTGGACTGAAGCCAGGATCTCTTCAGCGGGGTCCGAGTAAACCATATTGCCTTACCTAATATCTTAGGGAGCATTTCCTGTCACGTTTAATTCTCTCCCCGAACTCTGTTGTCATTATAGTGAGTGTCCTCTAACATCCTTTGTCTTAACGCAGTTGTGCGGCTCTTTTAGAGCCAAGTCTGTTTGTTCACACCCCCAAGAGCATGATATGTGTGGCAGTTTAATTATAAACACCATATGAGAACATACTTGCCAAGTTGCATCAAAATTGGCCACTAAACTGAGCGGTAGCATAGGTTTTGTTTTTTCACAACTACTATTGCCTTTTTTAAAATAAACTATTTATTTATTTTAATCCTCATCCAAGGATATTTTTTCGATTGATCTTGAGAGAGAGAGAGAGAGAGAGAGAGAGAGAGAGAGAGAGAGAGTTGGAACCCACAAACAAGATATGTGCCCTTGACCAGGAATCGAACCCGAGAACCTTCAGTTCAAGGGCCAATGCTCCAACCACTGGGCAAACTAGCCAAGGCTACTACTGCCTTTTAAAAAAAATTTTTTATGTGTTTTTTGATTTTTAGATAGAGAGGGAGAGAGAGATAGAAATATCCACCGACTGCTTTGTGCACATTCCTTACTGGAGATTGAGCCCAAAACCCAGGCATATTCCCTGGCCGGAAATCAAACTGGGGACCTCTTGGTCCATGTGACAACGCTCAACCACTAGCCACACCGGCCGGGCTACTCTTGCCTTTTTTTAATTAAAATTTTTATTTGTTGATTTTAGAGAGAGAGGAGGGGGAGAGAGCTAGAGAAGCATCAATTTGTTATTCCACTAATTTATGCATTCTTGAATGTGCCCTGACCCGGGATCGAACCTGAACCAACAACTTGGAGTATCTGGACAACACTCTAACCAACTGACCTACCCAGCCAGGGCCCTTCCTGTTGCCTTTTATTGAGCCATTTCTGTGGGCTAGGACTGCACTATATCGTCTCATTTAATCCCCTCCAGGGGTCCTCAAACTTTTTAAACAGGGGGCCAGTTCACTGTCCCTCAGACCGTTGGAGGGCCGGACTATAGTTTAAAAAAAAACTATGAACAAATTCCTATGCACACTGCACATATCTTATTTTGAAGTAAAAAAAAACAAAACGGGAACAAATACAATATTTGTATTTGCATGGGGCCCGTGGGCCGTAGTTTGAGGACCCCTGCCTCAAACCAACACTGTGAAGTAGGTGGTATTCTTCCCATTTTATGATTAGAAATGGAAGCTCTAAGAGGTTAAGGAACTTACTGAAGACTCCCCGGCTACAGTGCTAGAGCTGAAACCTGGGTCTTTCTGACTCCAAAGGCCCTGCACTTAAGTCCTGTGTTACCCTGACCTCCTGCAGCCCTGAGTGTTTTGTTCAGCAGCTATCATGGGACAATCTGGCTGCGGCCTTATTAAATATGTGTTGTGTTTGCTTCTTTTCTAGGAGCCCAGTGATGCCCTTGGAATCAGTATTGCTGGAGGAAAAGGAAGTCCCTTAGGAGATATCCCAATATTTATTGCCATGATTCAGGCCAGCGGTGTGGCTGCACGCACACAGAAGCTTAAAGTAAACAAAGGGGGAATGGTGAAGTGCTAACATCATGTGGGGGGTGGGAGAGGAAGTGGCAGCCATGGGCACTTTGTTTAAAGTTGGAATTCCAACAGCCTGGAGAGACCCATGCTGAGGGCAGAATGCATTAGAGAAAGTTTATACCTGAAATTCACTGGGTCCCTGGGCATATAAAAATATTATTGTTCGTATCAAAGCTTCTCAATGAAAAAAGAAATTGCAGCTCATTTACAAAGCCTTCCATACCATTTTTTTAGCACCTAATTCCACCCAAAGTTCATTTTTACCTGAGAGTGATTTGACCGTAGGATCTTCCTTCAATAAAAAGAACCAACATCGTTATAATTTTTCCCCATTGCCCCTTAATTTTAACTTAGGTAGAAAAATAAAGCAGAAAATATTTGGCTTCCTCATTAGAACTTTATTGAACAGTTCATTTGTACAGCCTACTATTCCTGGCGAATGGATGTATGAAATGCCACCATTACCAAAATACAAAAGTGGCCTGCCATGCCTTTTAATAATCAAAGCTGACCCCCTTCTTGTTTCTCTGATTGGCCTGTGTCTGAGGAAAGCCATAAAAATTCCTCGTGCTGCTGGAACATGCACACACCGGAGACAGAGGAACCTTCACAATGGCCACAAATGGGGACTATGACTTCCAACCAATTTCAAGCATTCTTCTCAAATTTAATTTTTCTTAATGATAGTGATTTTCTCCCACCATTGTACTTCCAGGTTGGAGATCGGATTGTCAGCATCAATGGGCAACCTTTGGATGGGCTGTCTCACGCGGACGTGGTTAATCTGCTGAAGAACGCCTATGGGCGCATTATCCTGCAGGTACCGTGATCAAAGGAGCACGCAGCTGCTCGAGGCAGATAAGTGGCGAGCAAAACAGATTGAGCGTCACTGGCAGTCAGCATCACTGCCCAGCGGGGTGCTTGCTGATGTGAATTATGAAGGTTGAAAGCAAGAAATTATTATTTTTATTCAGAAATTCTTTAATGCCACCCACACAGGCAGTGAGCATGATTATATGAAAGCATAACAAGGGGAGAAAAATTACTCTTTGCTTCACATGCTAAATCAGCGAGGCTTTTAGCTTCCAGCGTTCTTTTGTAAAACGGAGTTTGCGAGGAATAGGAAATGATTTCTTTTCTTCCGCCCAAAAACTGTTACTGAACTGCCCAAGTGCTAGTTCTTCCACTCACATTAAAAGAAGGGAGAGATACACTGCTCTCTTTCCAGGACCTTAAGTGACTGCCGACACTGTTAAATTCTCACTGCGTGGTAGTCATCAACTAAGGCAGGCAAGTATTTATCCGCTGTGGTCCTCAAGAGTATTGTCCAGAGGCACAGGGACTATAACAGGAAGGGAAAATCAGGTGTGCTGTTAATTACCGCTTCTTAGATTCTCAGCGCTTCAAATGTGTCTGAGATCGATATGCAGTGAGTGAGAGGCAGCATAACGGCAGTGAGTTTCATTAAAGCGTTTCCCTGAAATGTCTGATCCTAATCACCGTACTTCTGCAGAAGTAATATTCAATGGTTTACAGGTAAAAAGAATAAAACCCACCATGTTGTACCTGAGAGAAGGCTAGCCATTTAGGGCTCCGATCATTCTAGCCATAAAATAAGTTCGAATTATTGAAAAACCATCACTTCTGGGAGAACCAATCTGTGGTGCTTAACTCTCAACGATCCAAAGTGCCAAAATAGACATTGGAAAAAGTATTTGGCTTTCAGCCTGTATGAAAAGAATCATAAAAGTACCATCAGTTTCAAGGGCGTTCACATGATCCACGACCTGTTCATTCAGTGGTTTGGGTCCCCGAGTTCTTGTTGAGCACAAACCGGAACACTGTGTGGCCTGGCTGTAGCGTCGGCTTCCCCTCTCCTCCGTGTCCACACTCTCCCGTGAGAACTTACACGGTCACCTCCCATCTCCCTCTGCGCT